ACTGGAAATAGCTAAGTGATTACAATGGATTATTTATCTAGTTTCAATAGAAAATTAACTAGTAATAAGTTTAAAAGTTTGAAAAATAATTAACTTTTGAACTTAGCTTTAACTTGTAAACGAATGCCTATATTTGATAAAAGCTAGCTTATATAATATGTATATGTTATAGATAGGCACTAGTTTTTTCACTGCAGTTGAAGGGCACAGACCGCCGTAACGAGAGCATTATTACTCAGCACATTTTAATTTTTCAAACGAATTTACGTAATTAGCTGTCACATCATTTTTATTTCCTCTCGCAAAAATAGCTAATACAACCCGCGAGTAGCGAGCATAAAGTGGGTAAGTATACCAGGGTACCTATTTTAGAAACAATAGGCGCCCTGAGTAATACATGTGACAAAAGTGATTTATGAACAGCGTGGTACATGACATATCCATAATGTGCTTGTCAGACCATGACTTTTGGTACACTTTATGCATTTCACTTGCACTAGAATTACGAAAAGATACAGGGTATGGGATTTTATTACACGGTGTAGGGTCGCAGGGGACACTCTCAGGAAAATAATAATAAAGCATAACCATCATTGGTATTTTTAATCATAAGCACCCGGTCACGATGTAAGTACCCACGTGTGGACGTGTTGTATTCGTTTTATTTATTGTGTTATACTATGCACCGAACGCGGTAGGTGGTGAATCATACAAAGGCCCGCGATAAACAATAACCCKGCGAAATCGTAATGTTTTCTGRTTATATTCTTTCGGAAAATCGAAGAAAATGATTGGTGATAGAGTAAATGGAAATTATATGCAAAAATCTTGCAGCCAGTGATTCGTATACAGATCAGTATAGTGGTTCGTATATAGCTGATCAAAGGGGACTTCCTACGGGAAATGAGAAAATTTTGTTACCGGCAGGAAATAATGTTCGAACACACGGAAATGGTTCATTACTGCAGATAAAACGCACAGTCTATACGTATATATTATACACCTTTAAGCATATCGAGAATCAAAAGGTGTAAACGTAAATAACTGTCTTCAGATTATACAGCACAYTCTTGGTAAGCTTTTACGGCGATACACATAATGTCTGCAGTAAGAGTTTAAAAATTTAAAATTGTCCTTAGACTATAAAACGGTAAATTAAAACTTTTAAAACACATTTAACATTTTACATTGGTAATATATAAGTACCAATATTTTTTACATAACCGCATTCATAATATGTTGAAATTGCGTGTTTACGTTTTTTATATGATTATAATTTATAATTACGAGAAAATTTAAACATTTTTTAACTCAAAAATATGTTTAAATTATGTATGTATAATGGATGAATTACAAGTGAATCGAGATTAAATAAATGTAAGCAAATAAAAAAATATTATTAGATCACTGCAATTCTGCTCGATACAAATGCATATTTTGCTCTTTGTTTACAAGTTATAATGCATATTTCAATGCATGCAGACGTGCCTTTTAGTATATCCACTCTTTGGTAACACAGTAGCAAACGTAACTGTTTTAAAGCGATTACCATAATATAGAATTATTGAACTCAATATTTTTTAATTTATTGACTTGATTTGAAAATAAAATACATTTTGAGTAAAATGTTAAGAACTTTAGATTTAAAGTTACAAGTTATCGAAATAATGCGTTCATATGTCAATATTCAGCTAAAATACGATATTATAAATAAAACCCCGAGTTTGATATCCGTCTCGTTCTTCTTGGTCTTCTTGGTAGGAAATGAAAAATAATCGATTGAACAATGATTATTATCCGTACCGATATTCTGCACATAAGTGATTCCATTGACTTTCTTACATCATATGTAGGTACAAGGTAAAAGGTACTTTCAATATTATGATAAACCTCTTACCAGCGTGGGGAATTATTGTATTTAAGAGATGAAATTCCTGCAGCAGATAATGCTTCTTTGTGAAACGTAAATAGTCTCGGAAAATTAATATGTACACATCTTTACTATAATCCACAAACACATTTACTACAACATTATATTTTTATTAAATTTGTTGTGATTTAATTATTACGGAAAACCACTGTACTATATTTTTATTCCTCAATCGTTACAGCGAGTATTCAAACAATAAAATCGTTRTTAGTAAAATATTCAAACTATTGTGACTTGTGACAAAATAACAATTACTTTTTATATTGATAAGTCGGGAGGGGGAGATTCAGAATTTTATTTTAAGTTTATAACATCGAAGATCTGGGAGCAATAACAAGATGTCTCCATGTATTTTGGTCAAAATTAGTTTTCGACTGAACATTTAAGAAAAAAAAAACTAATAATATTATATGGGCTAACGTACCATCTCCTCGACACACGTTTTTAGGTATTTTCTATTTTCAATGATTTGTCGTTGAATTCAAATTTAATTCATTACAGTGACTTACTCATGGACGATCTACATGTGGCATCAACTTTACAGTAAAGCAACTTATCTGATTTTATATTTAATACATGACTTAATTTTATATAATCTATATATTAAATTCAGTTAGTTAATTGATTCGACATACTTTACTAGGTACTAAACCGGATGATGATATTATTATAATTTATAGCGTTTATAGTTATTATTTTATTAGTCATTACCTACTTTTAATGCAATATTCACATGCACTTAGTCATCTTTCATTTATCATTACTGATTTAACCTTAATTATTGCGAAGTTTCCTTTACTTCTATCACTCGTTTTACACCTAAAATGTCTTTAATAATAATGTATGATGTACTTTATTGAATTTCAAACCACTTTGTCATATACTTTGTCCTTTATCAAAGGGCTTTTATATTATGGATTTAGTAAGGTATACAAATTAAATTATTTTTGGTGCATGTAATTTTATCTCATTTATTTTTCTGCGAGTAGGTATTGCAAACGGACAAGACTAAAGACTAATTATCATTACAAAATATATATAATAATACAATACAATTTATAGGTACAGATAAAACCTGAAATATATTGTTGAAAATGAGTGTTAATATTAAAAAAAATTCAATCTCATATTTTATTAACTTCATCTTTTTAAATATAATTCTTTTTATGTTATTTATTTATGAAATAATTTTTTGTCTACCTATTAGATACTATTATTATAGATGGCATGGTCTTATTCATAATCGCAATAATAGTTACGAGTGTTACGACTCACTGCATGTGATGATACAATATTATAAATCATTTCTATTTACTTAAATTAAACTTGTTATGTAGGTACCTGTTTTAAAATTTGATTGAGAATAATAATTCATAATATTGAAAGACATTGAGATAACGAGAAACTACTGACATTTTTTTATTGAAATTCAAATATGACATGTATACTAATATTATTATGAACTATATAATTAGAGTATTTATTCATTAATTATAATAGGTACTTTATTCATTTTAAACCTTTTAGATTTTTTATAAACATTGAACAAACATGTTTACCTTTAATATGTATTATATGTATCTAGTAATATTGCTTATTTTTTAAACGCTTGCAAGTAAAAATAAATAAAATGAAAACACTCAAGTTTTTTTATCGTTTTTAATATTCATGTTTTTTTTTTCAAGGGGCGTTTTTAATACCTTATTGTACTATGTTGTTGGTTGGTGGAATTCCTTTGTTCTATATGGAATTGGCCCTCGGGCAATTTTATCAAACTGGAGCAATAACATGCTGGGGTAGGCTAGTCCCACTGTTCAAAGGTAAGTTATCATATTTTTTACAGTTTATTGAACGTCAAGACTTATTCTCAATAATCCAAATTTAAWRTATGAATAATTTAGGCATTGGTTACTCGGTAGTTTTGATTGCGTTTTATGTGGACTTCTATTACAACGTAATCATAGCATGGGCATTACGATTTTTTTTGGCTTCATTTACGAATATTTTACCTTGGACCACCTGTGACAACGACTGGAATACAGAYTTCTGCCAACCGGTAAATTGTGTTTTTTTCTAAATCTATAGGTATACGACATACGTATTACGTATACCGTGTACCTACTTAAAATCTCTTTCTGTTTTTTCTACTTCTGTTTAAAAATATTTAGTTAATTGTTTCCAAATTTTATTGAAGACATCTGTTTAATTTAC